CGTCCCCCGGGGGGGAGGCGGAGGAGGGCAGTGACTCCTCGGTCAGGGCGCCATGCAGCGGAGCGGGCCGGGCCCGGGCCCCCCGCCTTCGGGGTGCGCCATCTCCGGGCCCGGGCCCCCCGCCTGCTCCTCGGGGTGCGAGGAGTCGAGCCCACGGCCCAGGGGGGGCAGGTCGGACACCCCCTCATGGCCCCAGTCCGAGTGAGCGTCCACGGGGTTGAGAGGGTCCTCGGGCAGGGAGGTGACGGAGCCCTGGGAGCTGCACCTGCGGATCAGCATGGCCTGGCGGGACAGTTTCATGTCTTCCTCCGCAGACATGGGGGCCTCGGGCCCGGGCTGTATCCCCACAGCCCCTCCGTGGCCCCTCTCCACCTCCCGGCCTTCCCGTTCCTCCTCCTCCGACATGGAGGCATAGGAGACGAGGGATTCGTTTCGCAGGGACGGGGAAATGGCTGACATGTCCGGAGTCCGCAGCTCCGGTCCCGACTCGGCTGGAAGAGAAGAAAAGCCCTCCAGTGAGCCCCAGCCGCTGCCCCAGACCCCTGCCCCTCCCCGACACACGGACATCCCCCTCACGGACATTCCCGAAGGACACTGCAGGCCAACGTTGCCCCATCTGCGCAGCCCTCATCCCTACCTGCCTCGCACGCCCCTCGTCCCCCCGCAGCGAGTTCCCCAGGCCCCTGTGTGACACAGGGATGGCCCCGGCCTTTGCCTTCCCTTGGATTTGCCGCCTTCTCCTGCCACCGAACAACCCTCGGCAGTTATGAAACTGTGCTCCGAGTTCCCCGTTAGGCATCCACAGCCCTTCGGGACTCGCAGACCAGGAGACAATCGCACAGGCTGGGAAGGCACAGGGAATCGTCTCCGGTCAGGGTGTCCCCCGCGGTGCCACCCCCAGCGCCGTGCCCAAGGGCTGCACCCAGCCCCACCAGCAGCAAGACGCCGCGTCGGGACTGGGCTCTCGGTGCAAACAACCACTGCGACCTTTTACCGGCCGCCACGCTCCCAGCGGCTCTCCATCCAGACCCTGCGCCCTCCCTCCGCCGCCTAAAGCCCTGCAGCAGCCTCTCCCGCAGCCTTACCCGAACTGCTCTGTCCTTCCCCTCGGCTGTACTCGCAGATGACGGAGGGGTCGGGGCTCTGCACTGCCAGCCGGGGCACGGCGGAGCCCTCCACGTCTGGCAGGGACGAGGGCTGCCCGTTGGTGTCAATGTAGATGCTGGGGTGGCTCACGCCGGGCTGCAGGTGCATGAAGGACTGCTTGGTCGCGCCGGGGAAGAACAGATCTGCGGGACAGAGAGAATCCAGCCTCAGCCGCTGCGACAACGGCACCGGCGGCTCACGTGCCCCCACAGAAGGGCGGATGGGGCTCCCCAGAAGAAGGGTCCCAAGGGAATCTGCAGGGGAGTGACGTTGGGGGGGGACGACAGTTGAACTGAGGTGCAGACGCTCCTCCTGCAAGGCTGGCCTGTGCGATCGCTCGCCCTCAGGACCATCCTGAACTCGCCCAGCCCCGAGGGCACTGGCATCCCCTAAATGTCCCGCAGGACTTCTTCCTCCAGCCCAGAGCTTTTCTGCTTTGCAGCAAGACGGGCGTTTGGTTCAGAGACAGCCCGAGCCTGAACCCGAGTGAAACGAGACCCACGCCGCCCACTCGTCCCCACTGAAACCTGACGGGCCGACCTGAAATCAAAGAGCAGAGGAAGGAGCAGGAACAACTCACCCTGGTGACCTCTGGGGACACATCCCCTTTGTGGAAATGAAAGGGCAGGGCGGGTATTTGCCTCCTGGCCAGTAACAAAGCCCAGTTGGGGTGTACCCGTGGGCCCAGCTCAGCACTACTGCAAGACCGATGTCAGGTCTTTCACCAGCATCTTCCCCCCGAGCATCTCTTGGGCATTTGAGCTGAACAGGCATCACCCAAGAGCGGGACCGGCAAGAGGGCTCTGCGCCCTGCGGGAGGCCAAGACACAGGCTTGCTCTGCCGGCGATGGAGGGTTCAAAGGCACAGCCCCATCGAGAAGGCACGGCCTGCCCAGGGACCCACTGGCTCCCCCTGGCCACGCATGGCACCCGGGTGCGAGATGCTGCGGGAGTACGGTGTGACTTTGCACTGAAGCAGCTGCTCCTGCTCCCTCTGACCTCAGCTGACCATGGGTGACACTGACCCTGAAAGGAACAGGGGAAATAAAATCCCATCCCATCTTTTACCGGCTGCCTTTAGACGGTATCCAGCAAGGCCAGGCACTGTATGAAATTAAAGAAAGGAAAAAACCAAAAAAGACCCGCTCCCACAAAGTTTGAGGTGTTCCTGTTGATCCCAGGTCATTTCCACAGTGGATTTTTAATTCCAGCGCACGCAGTTTCCAACCCTGGTGGTTTGCTACTCAGACACGACAGGACCACGGCCCTGCCGGAGGCCGTAATCCCGACACAAACCGCATACGAGAGCAAAACCCCAGTGTCTCCTTCCATGATCCACGCCACGCCAGCTAGCACAAAACACAAATGCTCGGTAGACCATGGAGCTCAGGGGGACCGGCCTGGTGACGTTACCAGGCCGGACATCCCTCGGAGAGCACAGGTGGGGACGCAGCACAGGACTCTGCTACTCCAACTCTCCTCTCCCCAGAGAACCACCACGACTGACCTGGGTCCAAGATGATTTCGGGCTCCGAGTCGTGGCTGGCCTGCAAGAAGGTGGAAGCCACCATCTTCTCCAGGGGCGTGAGGCGCGGCTTGTGGAGGGGCCCGCCGGCGCGGTTCATGGGCAGGTGCTTCTTGGAGGTGATCTTTTTCTTGACGTCCAACCGCAGGTCGCGCCACTTGTGCTTGAGGTCGTCGATGGAGCGTTCGGTGTAGCCCAGGAAGTTGACGCGGCTTTGGATTTGGGTCCAGAGCTGCTTCCGCCGCACGGGGTGAGCCCGCAGGGCTTCAGACCCATACAGGGCGCTGAAATGCCGGACCACATTCCAGACCAGCGTCTCAGTCTCGTCATTGGAGAAGTTGGCCTTCCTCTTCCGGCCAGACGCTGGCATCGCCTGCGAGGCTGCGGCAGAGGTGGAAGGGGCACAATTGAACCTCGGTCCCCACTCCTCTCTGTCAGCTCCTGGGGGGAACATGGGGCTGCGGGAGCCCGAGGGAGCCGCGGAGGAGGGAGCCGAAGCAAGAGCCCCCGAGGCATCCATGGCAGGGGAGGCTTGGGCCGGGGAGGATCTAAAGAGCCGCTTCGGCACACCACGCGGCAGGGGGGCACCTCATCCCCTCGCCCCAGCTTGAGAGCACCTGGGAGGGGAGAAAAGGAAAGGGCAGCGGTGGGTGGCGGCAGTGGGGGGTGATGGCGAGGGCCCCCGGCCCTCTCCAACCAGAGGCACCCGGGGACCCCAGCCAGCTACCACGGGAGCCGCTGAGAGGGTCATGGTCATGGTGCGCGCACTGGGACCGCGACAGAGGCCGCGGTGAGAGTCACAGCACACACCTCGGGGCCATGGTGAGCACCTCAGCCACAGCACACACTTCGGGGCCATGGCAAGTGCCTCAGGACCACACAGAGGGTGACAAGGAGCACCTCAGGGCCAGGCTGAGGGCGATGGGGAGCACCTCAAGGCCACAGCGAGGGCCTCGTGGCCGCGTTGACAGCAAGGGCGAGTGCCTCCAGGACACAGCCTTGGCAAGCACCCCAGGGCCATGACAGGAGCCACAGCAACAACTTCAGGGCCATGGCCATCGCCTCTGGGCCACAGTGAGCACCACAGCGAGGGGCTTGGTCATGGTCAGCACCTCAGGTCCACAGCAAGGGTCTTGGTGATGGCAAGCACCTTGGAGCCATGGCAAGGGCCACAGCCATGGTGAAAGCACCAGGGCTGCAGCACGAGGCCCGAGGGCCATGGCGAAGGCCTTGGCCATGGCAAGTACTTTAGGTTCCCAGCAGGAGCCTCAGGGCCATTGCACAGACCTTGGCCATAGTACAAGTCGTGGGGCCATGGCAAAGGCCTTGGCCATGGTGAGCATCTCAAGGCCATGGTGAAGACCTTGGCTATGATGCAGGCCTTGGCAAGGGTCTTGGCCATGGTGAGACCCTCAGGGCCCCAGTGAGCACCTCAGGTTCCCAGTGAGGACCTTGGAGCCATGGTGAAGTCCTTGGCCATGGCAAGCACCTCAAGGCCATGGCGAAGACATTAACGAAAGCCTTAGCCATGGTGAACACCTCAAGCTCCCATTGAGGGCGTTGGAGCCATGGCAAAGACCATGGCCATGGCAAGTGCTTCAAGGCGATGGCGAAGGCCTTGAAGGCCCATGACCAACATGGTGAACACCTCAAGCTCCCAGTGAGGGTCTCAGGGTTATAGCGAAAACCATGGCCATGGCGAGTGCTTCAAGGCCACGGTGAAAGCCTTGGCCACGGTGAACACCTCAAGCTCTCACAACGGCCTTCAGGCCATAGCAACGACCAAGACCATGGCAAGTGCTTCAAGGCCATGGTGAAGACCTTGGCAAAGGCCTTGGCCATGGCGAACACCTCAAGCTCCCGGTGAGGGCCCTGGGGCCATGGCGAAGACGAAGGCCATGGTGAGTGCTTCAAGGCCACGGTGAAGACCTTGGTGAAGGCCTTGGCCATGGCGAACACCTCAAGCTCCTGGTGAGGGCCCTGGGGCCATGGCAAAGACGAAGGCCATGGTGAGTGCTTCAAGGCCACGGTGAAGACCTTGGTGAAGGCCTTGGCCATGGCGAACACCTCAAGCTCCCGTTGAGTGCCTTAAGACCCTGGCAAAGACCGTGGCCACAGTGCAGGTCTTGTGCCCGTGGCAAAGCCCCCGGCCACGGTGAGCACCTCGGCAAGGCTCTCGACCATGGCGCACCCCAAGTGCCACGACACAGGCCTTGGCCCCGCCGATCCCCGCAGCCCCCCAGCACCATGGCAAAGCCCTCAACTGCCCTCAGCATCTCCAGGCCCCACTGAGACCCCGCCGGCGGCAACCTCAAGGCCTCGGCCGAGCGCCTCACACCCTCACCCACCCTC